GAATGTTTGAATACCAATTTACGCAAGAATTTGAACAAAAACAATACAGGTTGAAAGATACAAGGCTGATTAGAGTTATTTTAGTTATTTTTCTTGTATTAAGTACAGGACTGCAAATTAAGTGATTAAAGTTTTAGCTTTCTACTACAAAACCGCTAAAATAAGCCAAAAGCAACACTCTGCTAAAAATTCCCGCTATTCAGTTTGTAAATGTCAAGTTTAAGTTTACAGCAGATGATTTTCCTTCGTATTGAAAACTTTTTGAATAAATTCTGCTTCATACCAAAAGTGATCTATTTATAACCTGGAGCAATGACAACTATAAAAGAAAGCTATAAGAGATTGCAAGAAAATGTTGTTAACACCGTGATCGGACAATTGCCTAGCTATGACGACATAGCTCACGCTTACGCTACAACACCCTGACCAACACGTAAAATGAATTTCATATCCAAAGTAAAAAAATTGAGTATCCTCGGTGTATACTATAGACACCAAATATAATATTTCATTGTTAGAATGAAAGTCATTTCAAGCTTCATGCACTCAACATTTAACCATCACTAATGATAAGCATTTGAATACGTTCATTCAAACAATCTAGTTAATTAGGTATCTAATAAAATACATGTAACACATTTTTCTTCAGCTCCAATATTCAGCAAAAGTAATAATTCATAGCTGTCATATCCATCCGAAGTTAGTCATTGAACTTATTTACACACTTGAAAATAAATCTTTTTTTCCAAAGCTTTAACAATTTTCAGAAAAATAAGGATAACTTGCAGTTTCTGAAGCATGATTTGTAGCATTCACCAAATATTACAGTTGCAATGCCTTACAAATACAAGAAACAACGTCTCAAACACTTTTTGGTTATTTTTAATATCTTTTTGATAGCTTTTTGATATTGAAAAGATTCATAAGGTAAGAAAGCAACATAAGATGGAGTTATTCTAAAAGCTGAGTTAATCAATAAATAAAATTACAGACAACCTCTGAGGTTCATTGACCGATTGCACTTTATTATGTAATCATGTTTGAAAGAAAAAAAAATGCTTAATTTTTTATCAGACATTAAAGTTACTTTAAGTTCCATCTTTTCAAATATATTTATCATAAAAAGGTTCACAAAATCATGAAAGTTGCCCGTAGATGACTCAATTGTGAAATCACAATTTCTGAAAATTCTTTCATGCTTAAGTCAGAGTTTGGGTTTTCAGACCGTGGATATCGGCCTAGGTTGCTCTGTGGTAGAGTACCTGACTGGTAATGCATGTTTATTGGGTATAAATATAAGATATTTTATTTTAATTTCTTTTTAATGGAATTTTTTGTGCTTGATTGTTGTTTGTAATCTCATTTTCATTCCTTTTCTAATTTCTTTTTGAAAGGACCTAAATTGGTTTGCGGCCGTTGTGTTGCATCAATTTTCATGGATTTTTCTTTATACTAGTAGGTTTTTAAACAAATGCATAGTATTTTTATATGTAGGAATATTAACAGTTAGTTTTGAATTTTATTTGATATTAATATAATTTCAGGAAACACATGAATAGATTTAATGCCACTTTCTACAAGCGGTTTGAGTGTTTGGGGATTTTAAAGAAATAATTATAAATAAAATAAATAAAAATGCATTTGTATTTGACCCTTTACAACCCAAATCTTGGTTCATAGGATTTACATGATTTATCACATAATATCCTAATTAATAATTAAAAATCATTCTTTGTAAGTTGTCTTATTGTCATATCGTCGACAATTTTTATACTTGTGTTTTAATTACATCCCAAACTTTAATTATTTTTTATATACAAGATTACATGTATTTTTGATCATGGTATTCATGTCTTTTTTTTAACCTACATCATTGGTAAAGTGATTGTTTTAACTGAAAAGCAGAAATCATAGTTATATATTTATAACTTTTCTCTAAAATTTGTAATCATGCACATTGTTAATGATTGTTTTAAACAGATAAACTGAAAAGGACAACCATTTCCACTGGTATACTAAAGAAAGACATTTTTTGGGTTAATTTGTCAATTTCAAATTACATTTAATAATTCCAGAAATTTTTGTCAATATTTGTCAAGATATATCTTTGATTTTTAAGCAATCCTTCTCCAAAAACAATTTAAACTTTGAAATAGCCTTATGAACTTGATTGTTCACATAAAGTAAGAAAGTATATTTTATTCCACTAAAAAATTGTGTTCTGGCCTGCATTTATTGCAAAATGAAGTTGTATTACTTAAAGAATTGTGTTGCTTTCAAGAGGATTACCCCATTTTATCACATTTTGTACTATATTATTTGTTCATGTCCATATGTTGGACATGTATAGTATAATTATTAATGAATAATTTTGATTTTGGAAGCTTTACTTTATGAAATACTTTATATATAAACTTGGTTATAACAGCTTTCAACAGGCTGAAGCCCATTGAAACAAATTGAAACAAAGTTTGAGGTCAGGGGCGGATCAAACACAAAACCTTCAAATATTGGTCAGAGGTGGGATCAAGCGTCACAGTGGGCTCATGACTAGAACATACTAAACCTACATTCATCAAACCGGGCCTCACACCCGCCAAGCTCACTTTTGTCATGACTTTTCCACTATATATTCGGATTAAAAAAAGTCCGTCTAAGTTTTATGTCAATTCAGAGAGTAAATGATGGCTTACTTTGAAAGGTTTAATATTGAAAGTATCTCAAAAATAACAGTGAACTTTAATCAAGATTGAATTTACATTACAAAGATCATTATAATATCCCAACAACCTCATGAATATTGCCTTTGAAAAAAATGTTGAAGGTGAAAAAAAACTGTTACACATTATTTCTCATAATATTCTTTACAGCAATGTATGACATATATATTTCTTTTGTGTTCTCTCATACATGAGGCCTCCGTCTAACAGTACTTTCAGTACTTTGATTGGTTATTTTTAATATCTTTTTGATAGCTTTTTGATAGATAAAATCTCATAAGGTAAGAAAGCAATATAAGATTTATTCTACTGAGTTAATCAATAAATAAAATTACAGACAACCTCTGAGGTTTGACCGATTGCAAAAAATGTTTGAAAGAATGCTTAATTTAGGACATTAAAGTTACTTTAAGTTCCATCTTTTCAAATATATTTATCATAAAAAGGTTCACAAAATAATGAAAGTTGCCTGAAACAATTTGTGAAATCACAATTTCTGAATATATTCTTTCATGCTTAAGTCAGAGTTTGGGTTTTCATGGATATCGGCCTAGGTTGCTCTGTGGTAGAGTACCTGAAATGCATGTTTATTGGGATTTTTAATTTCTTTCAGCATTGTCTTCTTGATCTCTAACTTCCCCTAGTCAATATATCAAAATTTCAAGTTGTGTTAATGCCTTTTTCACTGATTTGTGTTACCTAGTAGATGTTTTTGAAATATTTTCTCTTAATTTGTTTCAAATTTTATTACAAAATAATTAAAACAAAATCTAATGCCACTTAGTGCTTTTTTAAAAAAAAATTATAAATAAAATAAATAAAAATTTTATTACCCTTTACCCAATTCAATTTTGATAATAAATTATAAAATGTTTGTACGGTCGACAATTTTTATAGACCTTAAAATTACTCAGCACTCAGGATTATGAACATTTTTTATCATCTTACATTTTTCTCAAAGTTTTTTTTTACTTCTAAAATTTGCCGAGCACTTGACGAAAGAACAAAGAGCAACAGGCAGGCAGTTTCTCCCACTCCTGTTTTCAATTTCAAGCTTCATTTTGAAAATATTTCACATTTTTATAGTAATCCTTCCTGGCTTTGTTGTCATTTTGATCACAAGAAGACAATCACGAGGACGAGGCAAGCATCCCTGCTTTTATCTTAAAGCAACAATTGTAGAGGATTAAATTTTATCATATTTTGCGAGAATTGTTAAATACGACATATGTTGGACATGTATAGTATAATGAATAATGAATAATAATGAATAAATTTAGCTTTATGAAATACTTTATGTATAAACTTGGTTATAACAGCTTTCAAGCTTTAAGACCATTGAAACAAATTGAAACAAATCAGGGGCGGATCAAACACAAAATCTTCAACTGGTCAGAGGTGGGATCAAGCGTCACGGAGGAGTAAGTATCCCTTGTCGACCTTTCACACCCGCCGTAGGCTTCTTGTCTTGATCGGTAAAACGGAAAAATCCGTACACAATTCAGAGAGTAAACGATGGCTTAACAACAAATAGGAAAAACCTCGTCAGCATTTGATTAATGATAGATTGAATTTGCTGAGATCATTTAATCAACCACAGAATTTGCAAAATGATGATTCGAAGGTGACTGTTAAGTTGAGATTGTTGTTAGATCAACGTGTTTGTCAAAAGCTTGTCTCGTTTTAGAAGGTTCGTACGTAGAAGATGCTCTTGTGTATCCAATCAACTGAAAGATAAAATCTCCATACTCAGGGATAAGAATATATTTCTACATAAGTAAGGGAGGTTTACGATGTAAAAAAGTTAAAGGCGTCAAGTTAACATGAAGACTTGTTATTATATTGCCATTAACAGATTTTTCTAGTACATTACCCATATAAGAAACAGATGTGTCATACTAGTACTCTTTAATATATTTATTTCAAGCTCTCTGGGATATCTAGAGTCGATAGATGAAAGGAATTAACTTTTGTTAATTGATAATACGTAGTCAATATATCAAAATTTCAAGTTGAAGCCCTTAACAAGTGTTTTTTCTTCAGATACAGCATATATGTTTTTGAATAAATATTTTCTTTCAAGCTAACTTGAGATTTTTTAGAAGCTAAAAATTCAAAGTGGATGGTATACTATAACAATATTTTATTCTTTCTACAATTCAATTTTGAATTTACTAAATGTTTCAGGAAGAAGAAGAAGAAAACATCTTGATTTGGACATTTTTCTTAATTCTTACAACTTTTTCTAAAGCATTATTTATTTGTAGGAATTTTAAAGACAATGGCAACAGAGGCAGTTTCTTCCACTCCTGTTGAAGGAACAAAGAAAACATTAACTATTGTTGTCATTTACGCCAAAGAAGACGGGGACGAGGCAAGCACTTTTAAGGAACATTTACAGAATGACATATTACAATCAGAAAGAAACTTAAACGTTGAAATCAAAATGCTTAATGACACCGAAATAAAAAGTTTAGAAGAATCCTCAGAGGAAGCTAGATTTGCATTTCTTCTCCTAACCAAGGCATTCTGTGAGGACTCGTGGCCCAGGGTTTCACAAGAGAATTACATCAGGGCTCTGTTATATGGGACTGAGGGTAAAAGTACCTTAGTACCGATATTTACAAAAAACAGAGGAACCGCTGACTTCAGGATCCCAATGGGACTGAACATATTGAAAGGACTTCGATACTGTGATCGAGACGAATTTTACAAAGCATCTATGATCAAATTATTGTTTAACTGAGTAGGAGTTATTAAGTTATTTATTTAGGTAAATATACTTAGGATGCTATCAGATATTGTCGTAAACACACGCATTAAATGCATATTCGCACTGCTATATCTATGTATTCAAATTTAGTATATAAAAAAATGTTACCCTTCCTCTTAATTATAATTTCTCAAAGGATAAAATGCCATGTTAGAGCAACAAAGAAAACATACAATTTTTATAACTCTAGCTATGGAAATCAAAACAGAAAATCTGAGGAAAAAATCCTTTTATAATTTATATCTGATACCGGGGTATTTAATTGTATATCTATTCAAGTTCATTATTTTTAACATAAAATAAATTTAACTCAAATGTTTTTATTACTTATTTGTGTAATTACTCACCTTAAAATGCTTTTCTTGAAAAACGTGCACTGTGTTGAAATCTTAAAAAGGTAAACATCACAGGTCGTAGCAAAATCCACCTGGAAGTGAATGAATATGGAAGCCATCTGAGATTCAATATGCTTAAAAAAGTATTCGAATCACCATAGTTAGTGAAAACCAGAAAGCATAATTTATTATGTAGAACAATTTATTGAATATTTGAAAGGGTTTTCTTTTTTCTTTTTTTTCAAACTGTGTAAAAAAATGATGAACCATAAGAAGAAACTTTTTAATATCTTTTTGGCAGAAGTTAAATTTACTAAAAACATTTATTGTCATTGACTATTCCATCAAATAAACTGCAATTATACTGTTTGTAAAAATACATTAATTTTACTGTGTTACATACTGAATGATCATCAGCCAGAGGCTCAAAATAAAACTATACAGATATTATGTCATTATCAGTTTGATAAATATATTTAAAAAATATAACGTATGATTCACTAAAGAGCTAAATATGCCACCTAATCAGGCTACGACCTTTGTTTCAAGGTCTTCAGTTTTAAAAATTGTTTGTCCATAATGTAGTCAAAAATTGTCTGTCGTAAGTGCCGAGTATAGGCCTAACTTTGTAGCCCTCCACCAGCAAGTGGTGGCGATTCAATACGACTGACAAATTCTCAAAGGGTTATTAAACAGACAAACGATAGAAAAGCAATGTCATAAACGTGGAACGATAGTATCGTTCTTTCGCTAACATGTATCTGCAATACAAATCAATGACCAAAAGCTAACGTATTTTTCATATTCATATTATGTGATTTTTCATCAAGCATAACTTTTTTTTTGGGGGGGGGCATAGAGACTCTATATCTCTGAAATATTGGTAAAACTTGTGTTTATCACTATCAAAAGTAACGGAAAAATATTTTCAAATCATCCCTCATGAAAAAATATTCTTTTTTACTAGTATCACAAATTGTTATTTCAAAGTTTCATACCAAAACTTTCCTTGTTTCACGACAGAGAACATGTGATTACAGAAAACAACATAAAAATCGTCAGATTACGTATACTCAGAAACCAATTTCAAATAAGATTACAAATATTCGGAAAGCTTTAAGGGTCCTTTATCCGCGTTTGCATGATGCTTTAAAGCCTGATTCCAATGGATTTACTATGCCCTTTTCAAAACAGTTGTAAAAATTAAATCAATAAGCTTTTTTAGCTCACCCGAGCCAAAGTCTCAAGTGAGCTTATCTGAACAAAATTTGTCAGTTGTCTGTCGCAGTCGTTGTTGGCGTCGTTGTCGTTGTCGTAAACTTTTCACATTTTCATCTTTTTCTCAAGAACCACTGGGCCAATTTTAACCAAACTTGCCACAAAGTATCCTTGGGTGAAGGGGATCAAAGTTTCTTCAAATGAAGGGCCAAGCCCTCTTCCAAGAGGAGATAATTATGAATTAATGAAAATTTAATGGTATCTTTTGAAAAAAAATTTCTTCTCAAGAACCATTAGGCCAGGAAAGATAAAACTCATGTGGAAGCATCCTCAGATAGTGTAGATTCAAGTTTGTTCAAATCATGACCCCTGGGGGTAGTGCGTATCAACAATGAAGGATCAAAGTTTTGCATAAGAATTTATATGAAAAAATCTTCTCCAGAACAGAAAAGTTTTCTTTAGTCAAATTGACATATTAGCATCTGCAAGTAGTGAAATTTTAAATTTATTCAAATAATGTCCCGGGGGGGGGGGGGTACAAAGGGTCACAATCGGAGATCAAGTACTATTTTGGGAAAATCTTTAAAAATTTTCTTTTCAAGTACACATGTATGGTTAATTGATAAAGTGACATTCTCAAGTAATAGAAAATTCAAATCCCCCTCCCCCAACAAGTATACTTTTCATATTGAGCTGATTTGTGTTTTTTAACTAGCCCATGTGCTCAGGTGAGCGGTGTGATCCATGGGCCTCTTGTGTTAAAATGATAATATTTTTTTAAATAATGAACTCCATTTTGCTTCAAATAAGACATAATCGCTAAAATTCCATTTATTTTGAAATAAATATTAGGTGTAAAACGAAGACGGGAGTCGAGAGTGGGTATGCGTAGCTCTTTGTTCTTGCCGTGTTATTTTACACTTGGTTTTAATGAGGCTCTTGTAGAGAAAATTAAAAGTGTTAATAGTATACTATTTCAACAAATAAATAAGGATTTTTTTCTTTCTCTGAAAATTAAAAATACAAAATGGAATATTGTTTATTGAATAAAATTGCATGTTCTCTTTAGGATCTTGTTTGCTCTCCATATGTGCTAATGTTCACGAAATTGCATAGGCTTTTCAATCAAAATTGTTGCCTAATTAAGAATTAATCAGATTTCCTGATTAAATGTATGCGTAGTTAAATCTGTTGTTCTTTTCTAAAAAAGTGCATCCTCAGGATATTTAAACATGTATAAAAGAGAACTTCATCCAAAGCTTTATCGTCGGGTTTTGGAGTCAGTTTCCAGTAAAAGAACCAATATAAGGTAAATGCAATACCGAAAACTAATAGATATTTTAGATATTTAGCATAACCAGGGTAGAAAATGTATACATGTATTTCATTAAATAGTATTATTATAATTTCATTTGTTTCTTTAAAAGAAATATCCTATCGATATGTTAAAAGCTGTAATTGGGTGTAACTTAGCAAAATGTTTGAATGCTTTGATTTAAGAAAATTTTTGACATGTGATTTATTTGAAAATGTCTTCAAGATGTTTGACAAGAAAGTTTGTTTGAAAGAAAATTATAATTATACTCATTTTAAAGCTAAATTTACTCGAAAGTTGTCTGTATCTGTCTACAAGAAGATTAATATTCTTAACACAAAGCATATGATTGTGTTCTTTCTGAAAAATATTAATTTAGTCCATCTGTTTTCCTCTGCAAATTCGAGTTCAAAAAAAGTCACATTGCAGAATTAATTTGAAAAAGTAAAATCTTAAAATGCACATTTAAATTTTCACATAAAATTTTATTTACAATATAAGTAATAAATTGTTTCGCATTCTATATACCTTTAAATAAAATAAATATTTCATTTCAGAAAATAGAAAATGGCTGCTGGAAAGATAATCTTAGGTGCAACAGCCATGATTTTCCTGCTTCTTGTATCGAATTGTCCACAGACTGAAGGAGGTTTGATCGGGGACTGCTTTGATACTTGGAGTAGGTGCACTCGATGGAGCTATTTTCTCACTGGAAAAGCGTGGCTGACCTGTCCACAGCGCTGCAGATGCCTTGGTTACAATACCGGAAGTTGTATAAAGAGGAATTCAAAATGTCCTCTGACAAAGAAAGCATATCGTTGTGAATGTTCAGGAAAAAGAGTTGGTCCTAAACCTAGCAAGTGTTGATTTGAGAAAAAATAAGGAGAACCAGCTAAAATATCAATAGTCCATGATGCAACAAGATTACTGTTTATCTTGAAAATAAAATATATCATGTAATTTTTTGATCACTTTTCTATTAAATAACTATGGAAAGACATTGAGAACAAATAAGAATAAGTAATTTAAGCATGGGAAGGCGTGTACTAGAAGATTTTTGATGACAACAATTTCTTCAAATATTTATATTTTAAAACCTGAAAATACAATTTTACTCTGAATCAAGATCTTACTACATGTACTTTAGAGCATATCGTGGCCAAATAATGAACGAGCAGAAAACAAAACTTTGTCTAAAGTTCCTCGTTAACCAAAATAATCTACTCCGAATTCATTTTCATCTGTGGGGGGTCAATGTTCGTGAGCAAGCAAAATTTTATTGCTTCATGGGGATGCTTCTTCGTTGGTAACTTGTATATACATAAGATTTATTTAATGTTTGTGTTGACAAAATGAATTTATGTATTCAGGGGATATAGATTAGTACTAAGAGTGACTCACGAAATCAACTCAGGTTGTTCCACCCACGAACAATGATGATTCTTCGGTATTTGTCGTATTTTTAATTGCTGATTTGTTTCATACCCGTTGCTAGATATTTGTTTGATCATGAAATTCTCCGTTATTTTATCAATACATAACGGTTAATTTAAGGAATCACTTTCTAGTTAGTATACTATGCCAGGGCATCAACAATCAAAGGGAAACGAAGGCTTCGCCCGTTATGCATAAATTATCCCACGTTTCCCACTATCGTTGATGTCACTGGCATACTATACTAACTAGACAGTGTTTCCTTATATTTCCATTTCATTGTGAAATAAAATTGTAGACTTAGATTTTAAAAATGTAAAATCATAGATTTAAACACGTTGCCTCCCATGTCAATTTCAAAAGTCCTCGCCCACCGACGTCAAACAGAAAGACAGCCGCACAAAATTTATATGCATATTTGGCCCACTATAGCGTCAAACAAAACGACAGACGCGTACGAGATTTACATACATGCATATTAGACCTCCTTAGCTATTGACTATCGATTTGCCTAATTTACATTCCGGTAGAGTTATCAAGAAATCAAGTCCACTAACTTTTGAAGAGTTATCACAGAGAAAACAAATAGAAATGGAAATGTATAGTAATCTATTACGGATGAAAAAAAAATTGTGCATATATCTTTTGACCCATGTTATTTTTAAAAAGAG